TTTTTTAAATTTTGCTATAGGGCACATGTGCTCACCAGAGAGAGAGAGAGAGAGAGAGAGAGAGAAAGAGAGAAAGTGAAAAAGCAAGCTGCCAGGTCCAGCACTCAAACCATAGTCAGTCATGTGGGAGTCCAGTACTTCAACCACTATGCCATCTGCTGGTCCTCATAATATGCATTTTCTACAAACTCTTTCCTTTCTTGTTTCTTTTATTGTAGGGTTTGTGCACTTACTGGAGAGAGACAGAGAAAGAGAGAGAGAGAGGGAAAGCAAAAAATCGATTCCCTAGGGGGATGGTTATGTTACAACCCTTTCTCCCTCAATTTTCTCTCAGGATTTTGGACATGTAAACACAATGTGCCCAGTGTGATTTTCAAACTGCTGGGTCTGTAACTTGAACCGTGTGGTGAGATCCACCCATGTGGGATCTAGCCTCCTTAACCTCCATGCCACCTACTTGCCCTCTATAAACCTTTTAAGACTCCCTCATAAATTAAAATGACCCAGAATTAAGGTAAGGGGCATGAAAGGGCAGTATGAAAGGCTAGGAAAGAGTATAATGGGAGACCTGCTATATATAGCAGGTGCTAGAAGGCCTTTCTGTGCAGTTGCATTGAACCTATGACCAGAACAGAAGAAAAGCCAAGTGTAATTGGAGTGTAGTAAGCAAGACAGAGGGTACAGTTGCCCTGTGTTGTCATTATGCACTGCAATATAATCGTTATCTATTGGTATGTCAACTAATATAACTGTTATAGATAGTTGCTATAGAATATACTACAGTTACTATATATTTTTGCTGTAAACTCTGGTGTAGGCCCTATATACTCCTATCATAAGCCATAGTCTAGTGCCACATACATAGTCAGAAAATGGTGCTGCTATAAACAGAAAGAGCATAATCTGTCATGTATAGTGACCATCTGTTGCCATTAGATGTTAAAGTGAACCTTCTCTATTTTACTATAAATACCATAGTAGAGGGGCTTGTATTATTAAATATAAGCTTAGCTAATACAATCTGGGAAATCTCCCTGACTATTCTCTCTAGATTGGATTATATGCTTCTTTATGTGGAGGAAGGAGAAAGAGGAGGAATAAAATTTTATTTAGGATTTACAACCCACCTAGCGCTGTGTTTAAATGCATTATCTCACAAAAGCCTCATAATTCTTTAATACCCCATTTATAGATGAGAAAAAGGAAGCTTAGTGAGGGCAGGTAATTTACCCAAGGTCACATGCATCAAGCAGATGGTCGAGCAAAACTTGAAATCCCACTTAGCTGAGCCCCCTTGTCTAAGTTCTCAAGCACTGACCTTTGACCTCTCCAAAGCCTCAGCCTTCCCTTCTCACACTGCAGGGAACTGGCCAGTTGAGCTGTCTCGAAGCAGAGCCAGGTGCCTCAGAAAGTCCTGACTTTCCTTCTACTCACAGGGTCTGGCTAGTCTGGTGCTGGCTGTGGGAAAGTATATGACCACAAGGAGGAGCACAGGTTGACTCAGACAGACTGCACCCCTGCCCACTTCCTGAAGGACCCAGATGAAAGGCAGATTCTCTACCTTACCAGAGGTTTGCAAGACTGCATGTCCAGAGGGAGATATTTAGAGAATAAAAAAGTCAGAGAATGTAAGACAGAGAAAGAGACATGGCCGCCTGCCTTCCAACTGTTTCCCGGTGATTTGATCAGTTCCTGTGATGTCTGGCTCTATTTATAGCTCTAGAATTTTGAGAAATTCTCTTCTTCCTCCTTCCTCTTTTTGCTTATCTTCCTTTCTTTGCCCTGCTCACCCACAACAACCATTTCTCCTATACTGAAGGTAGTTTGAGTAGATTTCTATTGCCTGTGTGCAGAGAAAGCTTCATTAAGACCCTACTTCATGTAATTGTTGTGAGGATTAAAGATGTGTGTGTTAGTGCTTGATAGGTCATTGGGTAGGAAGCAAAATTCTTGGAGTGATATTTCCCAAAATGTGTTTTATAAACCCTGCCACTGGTGGTAGGGGTGGGGACCATGGCACTGACCTTTGTGAATCACTATATTCCTCTCTTGAGATTTCCCATGTTTATTAGCATGTTAAAAATTGTGCTAAATCTTATTGTAAAAGGATGTGTTCATATTTGTTTATTTAACTGCACTTCCCAAACTTATTTTAACTCTGATTTTTTTTTCTCTCATAATGCCTTGGCCAAGTCCCACCAAACCATGGAAATAGTGCTGTGGAGAGCAGTGTGGCTCTGGGAGAGGCTAGCCTCAGCAACCTTGAGGTATCTTCAAGCTCTCAGTTCTGTCTCTATTGTTATTTTTCATATTCTCCAAAGCTTTAGTAGTGAATTCCCATGACTGATTGGCTCTTTGTTGCTATTCAGAGCTGTTTTAGCAACAGGATTAATGCCTGTGGTTAGAGATTTTTCTCCAGCTCTTATAATGAGAATCACATGTTCTTGCTAGGAGAATGTGGGGGGTTGAAATCATTTTTAAGGTTGGATTTCTTTTATTTCAAAGTCCCCAAACCATAGATCTGAAGCTTGACGACATGTAGAGAGCATTCAGTCCCTCATCACCACTTCACTCGCCATCTGAAGCCAAGAGGGGAGGCATTCTGGCCAAAGTCACAGACCTCTTTCCAGCTGGTCGTTCCCTGGACAGCAGATGATGACATAAATAAGCGTGTAGAGTGGCAGTATTGACTCCTCTCTCTGACCACGGCCACTTTCGTAATTAAAAAGAAATGTTAACATAAATCAGATGGTCTTTCCACTGCCTTTATCACTAATGGTGCATTCTGTCCAGGGAAGGTGAAGAGGCATTACTCTCAGGCTTACAACAAACCATAAAACCTGAAAATGCTAATGAACTTCAGCCAATTAAGAGAGGAAGCAAAACTGTCTTTAATGAAGGCTCCATGTATCCCATGGGCTCTTGCTAACTCATGCTCAGGGGTACCAGAAAGTCCCTTGGAACCCAATTGCTATGCTCTTGGAAAGCAGAGAACCAACTCTGTGTAAAACAGGTCTAACTAGAAATCTGATTTGGTCTAAGCTTAGCTACTGACTTTGAGCAAGTCCCACCTTATCTCTGGGCCTTTTTCCTCAGTAAGGTCTTCCCTTGCAGTCACTCATATTCATGGCTATGGTTGGAATGTCTCCTCCAAAATTCATGTTGAACTTTAGTTGCCATTGTGATTTTAAAAGGTGAAGTCATGAGGGCTTTGCCCTCACAAATAGATTTCTGCCATTATCATGAGACTAGTTTAGCTATCATGGGAGTGGACTCCTTACAAAAGGATGATGTTCTGTCCCTTTCTCTCTCTGTTTTATTCAATAGCTTGTCCTTCTGCTTTCCACTATGGGATGATGCAGTACAGAGATCTTTACCAGATGCTGGCACCATGTTCTCAAGACTTCCTAGACTTCAGAACTGTGAGCCAATAAATTTCTGTTCATTATAAATTACCTGGTCTCAGGAGACCAGCAGTTGGCATAATGGCTATGTCCCTGGACTCCCATGTAGTTGACCTCAGTTTGAGTCCCAGATCCTGTGGCTTAAACTCACTCTGGATGCGTGTGCGTATGTGCCCAAGATCCTGAGAGGAGAATGGAGGATAAAGGATTGCGGTGTGGCCATCCCTCCTGGGGGGTGATTTCTCACTTTCTGTCTCTCTGTCTCTCTCTTTCTGATGAGCACATGTGCCCAATAGCAAAAACCTCTCAAAAAAAACATTACCTGGTCTCAGGTGTTCTGTTATAGCAGCTAAATGATAACTAAGACATTCATCAATTTTTGAGCATAAATTAGTGCTGATCCCTGCTGCTAGGAACCAAGGACATAAAGACCACTAGGATTCAGTCTCTTCCCTTTAGTGATTTGAAGTCCCCATGCGGTGGGATAAGACTTGTTCAATAACCAGACCTTTGGAAGCTCAGAGAAGAAAGGGGCTAATTCTGTTTAGGGTTTGGGGGAATGTTTTTCAGAAGAAAAGGCATGAGTTAAATTGCACAGAGGGTTAGTGAAATGAAGAGGGCATGAGGCGTTCTTTTTTTTTTTTTTTTTTGGCTAGAGGGCAAACTGTGTGAAGATAAGGCAGCAGGAACTAAGACAACATGTCTAGGGAACTAGGCTTTGCTCAGAGAAGCTTGAACAATGGTTTTAGGAGGCAGAGTGCTGAACAGACAGGCTCTGGGTCATACAAAGCCCTGTACGGAAAGCTGGAAAGTTTGAATATTACCTTGAAAGTTGTCTAATCAGTTCTAAAGCTGTATAATTTGAGTAGTAAAGTCAGACCATCAATGATTTAAATCACCGTGACTTTGGGCAAGTCAGTTGCCTTAACTGTGAGACAAGAGTAATAACACTATCTCAAAGGACTCATGTTCTTTTGGTAGATGATCCCCTGGGCAGTGGAATTTTAGGCTGTAAATTTTGGTGCTAAAGTCAGAAGAAAGATATTTTACCACATGAAAGCGTAAGTGAGTGTGGAGCTAGCTGGTATGTCCATGCTAAAGATAACCACTATTCAGATGATTTGAGATGACACTTTCCGTCATTAATGACCTCTAAGATGAAGCACAGCAACAAAACAGTAATTATTGTAACCACTGTATGATATTCTGCAAAGCACATTCCTCCCCACCTTTCTCTGCTGCTCATAACTGCCCTACTAGCTAAGTTAGTATTATCTCCATTATGCAAGAGAAGCTGAGCATCAGAGAGGGAAAGTGAATTCTCCAAGGTTGCAGAAAGTAGGAGCTGACTGATAACTCTGCCTCCTGATTCCCCATCCAATGAGCTGTCCAGAAATTCCCTAGTGACCTCATGTGCCTGAGCATAAAACAGCCAAGTCTCACAAATCACATTCCAACAGCCAGGGTGATACTTCCTCTGCCCAACTTACTCATAGTCTGAAAACTCTTCTTCAAGTATGTACTCCCTATTTCTTCCCTCTTCCATACCTCCATCCTATAACTACCTTCTCCCAAGCAGCCTCCTGAGTTCCTCACCTGTAATTGCCCAGGTAGACTCCATCAGGATTGAGCATTGGTGCAATCTTGAAGACTAGGTGTTCTCGTAAGACACGAGCAATGGGGTGCTGGCTTACAAGGAAGTCAATGATTCCTAGGGAGAGAGAAGCATCTGAGTTAACCTCAAAGTATTTCAAGAAGGAAGGGATCATATTTTTTTTTTCAGGAGCTCATTAGGTGATTTTTGGCCTGTGCTTATTGACCACTGCAGTATGTGGCTGTAGATTAGGTGTTACAGTGACTTTACAAAATACAACTCTGTTTCCAAGAGACAGGCAGTTTAATATACAATATTGAGGCTCATGGGCAGGAGGGAGAGAGTACTTCCACTTTGGGGATTAGAGAAGTCTTCCAAGAAAAGACGGCATTTGAGTTGTGTCTTGGAGGACCCACCAGGTTTGATTTGTTTTGTTTTGTTTTGCTTTCAACTTGCCAGAGGGCCTATGCACTTATGAGAGAGAGAGAGAGAGAGAGAAAGAGAGAGAGAGAGAAAGAGAGAGAGAGAAAGAGAGAGAGAGAAAGAATCCTCCATGGGGAATGGTCATGCTGCAATCCCTTCTCCTCCATATATCGCCCCTTTCAGAATTTTGGGTACACACACGCACATAGTGTGTTTCTCAAGTTGCTGGTCCTGGGATTTGAACCACAAGGTCAGCCATGTAAGAGCCAATCACCTTATCCACTGGGTGATAGGCTGAACATCTGACAGGTTTTGACATATAGAGATGGGGAAGAGGTGGGATAACTCTGGACAATAAATCAAACGATGCTTTCTCCCAGACTCTTAGCTAAGTGCTGACATCAGATCTGATATCACAATGTCAGAGACCTTAGGGACCTAAATCCCTAAGGGTTGCTGACAGGCATCCCAAGAGAAGAGAAAGGATTTGGCCAAAGTTACATAGGAGAGAGTTACAAAGAGAGTTTTCTTCCATACTCTCCAACTCTGTTCACCCCACACACACACACACACACCCTGAGGGATGATTACACTGCAATCCATTTTCCTCTTGGGATTTTGGGTGCCCAGGGTGAGTTTAAGCCACTTGTCTGGGACTCCAACTGTGGCTGGCCATGTGAGAGTCCAGTGGTATAATCATTACGCCATCTGCTGGTTCCCCCTTTTCCTGTTTTAATGGTCATCTGTACCCAGACTCCAGGGCTGACTGTCCTCCCTGTTTCTCCCTGGAACCAAACATCCCTACCTCAGTCATCAGTGTAGAGAAGCTGAATTCTCCATGACTTTCTTTCCATTGCCAGGCAGTCCCCATATCCCTTCTGTGAATCGAACAAGTCTGCCTCTCTTCATTCCTCTGCCTCTCTTCTGATCCAGATCACCACATCTGGTCTGGATGAGAGCCCTGACCCTTGGGATGTTCCCTCATCACTGTAGCCAGAGAGGTCTTACTGAAGTGTGAACCTGACCCTGTTACTCACCTCCTTGATCTCCTTCTGGAGATGGCCCATATTGATCAATAGAAGAGATGAGAAAACAAATAACCCTAAGACCTAGCCCCACCTCCTCCCTCTCCATATTTCTACTTCACCAGAGACTTGAAGAAAATGGGCAAAATGGCACTCTGGTATTCCATAAAATGACTATAATACCACAAAGTGATAGAAAAATACAAAACTCTCCCCAACTATAGAAGACAAACCTCTTTCCTACTGGAGAAAGCAAGAACGATGTTGAGGAGAAGAAAGCTTTTGAGCTGGGCTCTGATAGGTAGGTAGATTTTGACATTCAAGGAGGAGGAAGGCAGCAGGGTAATAGTCCACATGCCCAGGCAGACACTTAGCTCTTGGAATGACAAATCACTCCAGAGCACATTCCAAAGCTGCTGTGACCAGCGAGGGACAACTCCAGTTTTTCATTATGCCAGGGCTGAGAATCCACTGGCGGCTGAAAGCCAGTTGGACATCATTTACTTCTCGGCTGAAGCGGCAGTAGACCAGATGCCCTAATTTATTTGTTGGTCTTCATATTAAAGCTGCAGTTTGCCAGTAAACAGGCAGGGTAATGATGCCAGGCGCCCTTGTTAGGGGCTAATAATTGCTTAATCTGTCCACTAATTGACCCCGGTTCCCGGGGCAGCCCTCTATCAAGGAGCCAGACTGTGCTCAGGGCCTGGCCATGCTGCCTCAGAGAATGGCTTCTGGAAATGGAGTAACTCATTGTGATCCATCCTCCTTCACAGATGAGCAGATTAATTGGGCTGCCAATTAGGCAGCTAATAAAAGAACGAGAGAAAACAAAGCCAGACCGGGGACTACAGCTGCCCTAAGCTCCCTCTCCCAGGATGGGTGTGGGGCAAGGAGAGGGGGAGATTTTAGACTCATCTCCTGGCTTGAGGTCAGATACAACTCAACAGAAATTATTCACATTGATCAAGAATTTGGGAAGGAATTTCTCTTTTCCTTCCTCCTCTTTCTCCTCTTCCTCCCCTTTTTCTCTTCCTTTTCTTCTCCTCCTCTTCCTCCTCCTCCTCTCCTCCTCCTTCTTTTTGCTTTTGTGGGAGAGAGTGGTTAAACAAATAGGAGTGTAAGAAGTGTGTTAGAGAAAGTGACAGCGGAGAGGAAAGGCCATTCTAAAGATTTGCATGGACCAAGAAAGCCCAAGTTCCAAGAGGAAAGAAATAATGAGGACCTACATTCAAATCTTAACTATTAGCTAGAAAAGTTATAACAGCTTTCTCTGACCACTTTTTCCATCTTGCAATAGATGAAAATAATAACAATAATATTACTAATAGTAATAATAATAATTCTTATTCTGGATGATGGTTGTGTGACTGTATTAGAGCTTCTATATTTTGCCTGCTAGACAAAGTAACTGAAAATTGTGATATACTTTAATAATAAACTCATTTAGATCAGAGGTTGAAAGGTAATGAGATAGTGAAAAACAGGATTAATTCTGGAAGTAGGAATCCTGATTTGTGAAATTTACTGACTATGGAATTGAGGGATAAGGATATCAAATTAGAGAAACCAACACACCAAATGAGAACCTGGGTTCTAGTTTTGATTCAGTTTTGGGGTGGCCTCTGGAAGGCCTCTGGGCCCACTCATGTTTAAAATTAGAAGAAAGAACTAAATAATTCGCAAGGACACATCCCACACTGACATTCTATCATTCAATCTATTTCATTTCTCTCCCCCAAAGTAGAAGAATCCTCTTCTGTCAAGTGAGGAGAATAATCTCCCCGCTTCTGGGAGATACCAGCAACCCCTTGAAATGAGTTTTTGTCCCTTCCATAAACACAGTTGCTGAGTCCTTTCCTTTGAGCTAATTTCATCAGGAAGGTGGAAGAAAACAGATGGCAGGAAAGCTAAAGAGGCTGGAAGAAAAGAAGGGAAAGTGGTGAGGATTTGAAACTAGAGCTGGGTAGCAGAAATCACTGGCCTTTGCTGAGCTCTGGCTGGCTAGGTTGAACTTCACCAGGCCAACCACAAGTGAACTGGGAATCATTTTTTTTCTCTTAGACTGGTTCACTGCTATACATACAGCGGGTGCTTACTAAATGCCTATTGAAGGACTGGTTCCAGAAGTGCATTCAGCTTTGTCAGAATGTGAAGAGAGTTGAACTGATAATCTCTCATTCTACAAACATTTATTGACATGCCTAATACTGGTCTTGTGTGTGTGTGTGTGTCTATATTGTTGTTATTGTTGCTTTTAAATGCTGGCCGCTTTAAAATGTTAAGACATTTCTGCCTCAGAGGAGTACATGTTAAGAAAATAACTCCTTACTGGCTGCCAAAACTTGATGGGAACAGAACAGAACTGTGAAAGTCTAGAGGGTTTCCAAACAGCCTGGAGTAGGAAAGGGGTTCTGGGGAGCTGACTGAAAGGATGAGTACAGCAAGTCAGATGAAAAAGGAGTGAGGAGGAAAGAATTCCAGGCAGAGGAATTCTTATGTCAAGGACTGGAGGCAAGAAAGATAATAAACTATTGTGTAACAATAGCATTTCATTTCCAGGGGTTAGACGCATAGACCCTGAAACTGGACCGTGGAATTGACTGTTCTTTCTGCCTTTCATTTGCTCTTGGCTTTAATCTCCAGTTCCTCAGCTTTTCTTTTTTTTTTTTTTTTTGAGAGGTTTTTGCTACAGGGTGTGTGCGTTTGCCAGACAGACAGAGAGAGACAGAGCGACAGAAAGCGAGAAATCACCCCCCAGGAGGGATGGCCATGCTGCAATCCCTTCTCCATTCTCCTCTCGGGATCTTGGGAATGCACACACATGCACCCGGCGTGAGTTTAAGCCACCGGGTCTGGGACTCGAACCATGGTCGGCTACGTGGGAGTCCAGCGACATAGCCATTACACTAACTGCTGGCCCCCAAGTTCCTCAGCTTTTTCATCAGTTAAAAAGAGGAAAATTATAACTAGTTGTGGGTTCTTATGAAAGTTTAAGTGAGGTGTCTGGCACATAGAAAGTGCATACGCGCATTGTTAATCATTGCTTTGGGTTTGCCTATAGGTGTGGGGAAGAAAGGAGTGTTGAGAAATGAGGACAAGAGGTAAAAAAGGGCTTGCTGGTGAAGCTAAGAAAACATGAAAGGGATTGGAAAGCCATTGCCAGGTTTTTAAGCCAGGAAGGTACAGGGTTAGATCTGGGCATAGAGAGTTCCTCCTAGCTGTAGTGTGGAATACAGCTTAGAGGGGAGTGTAATGGAGGGTGGGCATCTTACAGGCAGGACAGAGGTGGAGGTAGGGGGCTGGCAGTCAGGAACCAGCGTCCAACATGGTAGTGATATGGTGGTGACCTGCATGGCCTCTGCAATGACCAAGATCAGTGAGAGGCAAGAGTGTAATGGGTGGAGGGGAAATGGAGTGGATAGATGGAGACAACAATGATGAGATTACGTGTCTACTACCCCTAAGACCATCAGAACTCTTTGCTGAAATCACATACCACAGGGTTAGTATCGGCTTAAGTTTCTAGCCCCTGGCAATAGAACCTCAAGGCAGGAACTAAGCTTAGTTATAGAAAAATAAGGAAAGGTCCACTTCCTGTACCTTTGTTTGGGGGATTGAGGCTTGCATCTGCTGTGCAAGTTATGTCTTCCTTTTAGGCAATGAGCTCTG